AAAAATTATAATTTTTTATTATTAAAAGTTATTGGCTAAATTAATTATTAGCTCTCTTCAAGCAATGTGCCTCTAAATAACACCTATAGAAAAATCTTAAAATAATTTTAACTAAATATATTTCAAGATATATTCATGTTTCATATTTATTTTAACAAGAAAATTTTCTAAAAATAATTATATTAGAAGTATAATTATTGAGATGCTAATCTATATTATTACTGTATCATTACAAAATCATGCCTCAAGGCATTATTTTAAGACACATTGCTTGAAGAGAGCTAATTATTAATTTAAACAAATGTAAATTATAATTTTTGGTTATTAAATATCTTTGGCTAAATTAATTATTAGCTCTCTTTAAGCAATGTGCCTCTAAATAATGCCTCAGAGCATTATTTTGTGACAATATAGTAGCATAATTATACATTTTTATAATAGTATTGAATAAATTCTCAAAGCATATCTTTGCTTACTATATTTATGTTAAAAAGAATCATTTAACTAGACTAATCATATTCAAAATTGCAAAATCTAAGACTAATCTTAAACAGACTACCAAGTTATCATTGTTAGCATTTAAATACATTTAATCGATAATACTGCAAATGTATTTATACTTTCTATATTTATATTAACAAGAGTAATTTGAATAATATACAGCTGTATTCGAAGTTAAATTCTGTAAATAATTTGAAAAAAAATAAATTAATATAGATATACATTTAAAAATAGATTTTAATTCATATTTTTCATTTAAATATAATTAAATATTAGATAGTATTGTATAAATACATATGCTCTAAAAAGATATAAATTCAATAATTTTTTTTACCTTTAAAAATTATATTAATAAAATGATATACTGAAAAAAAACAATTAAATAAAATAAAAACTCAAACTATATTTATATTTTGGTATTTGTAAGATTCTTATCAATTTATAATTACAGACCAAATAGTTAAAAGTTGGGAGGCACCAGCTCAGTTCAAGTTAAATAATACAATTACTTAATTAAATCAGGAGCTATGAAATCTTAAAACATTAGAAAATATAGAAATAATCACTGACAACAATAAACAAAAAAAAGAAAGGATTCAAAATGAACTCACATCATTATTAAAAGCTTTGTCCAAATTAGAATACCATTAACAGTTTTAAAGAAAATATAGATTTCAACAAAAACATAAGCTTCAGCAAATAGAGAAGCAGTTTAAAGAGGCAGGTTTTAATATACAGCTTGCTAGGCCAACAATTGGTCATCTAAGTTTAGAAGAAACATAGCCAAGTTTATTAGAAGCTATTATTCAAATTGTTTCTTAAATAGGCAGGTTGATGAAAAATGAAGTTCAGAGTTAATATGATCTGTAAAAATCTTAAATTAGCTTCATAAGACATTAGAACATATGAACTATAAACTGTCACAAACTGCAACATATTTTAGGTTATTTCCAAAACAGCATAGTAGTTATAAAAGAAAGAAACATGTTAAAATTGTGCTGATAAGACTTATAAGGTCTTAAAATATGGCAAGAAGAAGTCATGAAGATATCTGTTTTTGTGCTGCCTTAATAAGAAATATAAAGAAAATAGTATCATTATTGGGTTCTAAAAGTGTTTTAGTAATATCTTAAGATGAAAAGGTGTAGGTACCTCTCAGTTTAGTCATAGCCAACAAACAAGGTTACTATAATTTAAAATAAAATGAAATTATTATAATAAATAAGTGCTGCCAAGAGAAATGGTATTTCAGAATTTCATTTCAGACACAATCCATAATAAACTAGATATATTGTATATAGTACAAAATATAAGTTAAACTTTGAAGTTCTATTTTTTCTTGGCAGCATTTAAATAAAAAATAAGCTTACTAATAACAGAATAATATATAAATAATTTGCTCATATAGCATCAATTCTTATAAGGCTAGAATACCAAGTAGAGCTTTCAGATTATGATTGGATTATTGCTAAAAGGCATAAACTGATTCTTTTAGTTTATGCAATATTAGATGTACAAGAAAGTAGATATAGACACACTAATGTGGTAACATACTTAGACCTAATATTTATAAGAGTTTGTAGTAGTAAACATGATAGTAGTATCACTTACTCTCATGGTAAAGATTTTGATAACTTAATGAATGAGAAAAAATTGCACAACTATACTACAACAATAGATGAACAACCTAAGCCTGTAGTTTGCTGCTAACTAATAGTGGTCCTGATAAAAACCCTCGTTATAAAAAAACAGTTCAGATGATGATTGAGCATTTTGATACATATGATTTTGATACCATTATTGTGGCATACTTTGCACCATACCAGAGTGCATCTAATTTAGTTGAAAGATAAATGGCACCTCTAAGTTATAATTTGGTTGGTGTCATACTTCAACATGATATATTTGGAATACATTTAGATGCACAGTTGAGAACAAATAACAAAGAGTTAGAAAAATGTAACTTTAAGGTAGCTGGAGATGTTTTAGCATCAATATAGGAAAATACAGTTATAGTTAACTATCCAGTTCTCATTAAATATGTGAAACCTTCTGAAAAGCACTATTGTCCAAATGAGAAGTCTGAATCTTGGATTGAGAAGCATGTAATGACTTGCTATTATTTTACTTAAGTTACAAAATGTGATGATTGAAGCTGCTGTAAGCCTTTCTACAGTGGAATTACTCAAATTCTTCCAAATCAGTTTTTTCCTCTTCTACTCATAATTCAACAAAATCCTGATAGTATTTGCGTAGCAAACATAAGTGCATCTAATAATACAATTTATTTTTCTCTTTTTATCTTATCTATATTAATAAAAGAAAGCTAATTTTTCCAAATATGAATCTACGATGCCTTCTTTTTGATTGGTATTGTCTGACTGTCAATAAATTAATTAATGAATATATTTGTCCCTATTGTATCAGTACTTTGCTTTAAAAAAAGCTTTGAAAAATCATACTAAAAAATGTTCATATAAAAAATCCAACTTATCTGTAGAGCTTGCTTTAGATACTCAAAACTTCCAAGCAAACAATAATGTATCTATTTATAACTATCGGCATGGTGAATTCTTTTTTTTTTTTTTTAAATATTAACAGTGAGGCTATGCCTTTAACTTTATTGAAATTCAATTAAAGTTTTTACAAAGAAA